TTACTGTGGGAAGAATGTGCATTATTTAGCACAAACCAGAACATTATTTAGTTATTATAAACATGTTGTAATAGAGCTAGTGGACTGTTAAGGGTGAACCCCCGCCCTCAATTGCTGAGAACCCCCCCCCCAAGTGGTAGATAATGTGTGGTTGGTCTTAAATAAAATCTTTGGTTCTTATAGAACAAATGATGTAATTAAGACCAGCTGTAAGGGTGTTCAAATAAAAGACCCAGAAACTTATGAAAAAAATGTAAAAACAGACAATGCAAACAAAATTTAACTACCCTTCTGCCTAACATGTGCAGGACCCCTTAGGGGTGTGAACGTTCAGTTGAAGACCGCTACTCTAGACGCTGTAATTGATTTTCATATAAAGCCACTAAAATTATTATAAATGCATCTCATCAGAGATGGTACTGGATGAATTTGCATGACATAACATGAAAAGTTACCAGAAAAGTTTCTGAAGAATGGTTAAAAGTTAGGAAACGAAGCAGAAATGACATGCATGTTCAAGCGGAAAAAACTGAAATGTACAATGACAGCTTAATCAACTTAAAGCAAGAAAACTAATAGTTAGCAGTTATCCAAAGCTAAAAAACACAATAAGTTAAGCACCACAAATAGCACAAAAAAAAAGTCAGGCCTGCAGCCATGTTAGCTGTTAGTTCTAAAAACAGCAGAAATGGCCAGCTAATACAGAATATATTTTTAAATTAGCCATAACAAAATGACGACTTACATAGCAATTTGCCTAATAAAAATAGTTAAATCTACCTAGAAATAGCTGATAGGTTGTGAAAATTTAGCAACGTTAGCATAGAACTAGCTATCTAGCTAGCTCTGTTGCCTTTTGGAAGAGAACTCAAAGTCTGATTTTAATTAACTTTGTAGAAATGTGCGCTTTTTTAAATGTTTTTTGTCATACAAACATACAACTGTTCTGTTTTCCATTAAACTGTAATCTTCTCTTCTACATTTGCCTGTTTATCTGTTTTCAGATAATTTATACAAACTTATACAAGCCGATATCCGATATTGTCCAAACACTTAATTTCCAATCACTGTACAAACCACTGTAGAGTTGCTGGCACCAGCATTCTGCATACAATCCCATGATTAATAAAATTAATTAATTAAATGAGCTGCAATGCTGCCATCTGGTGATTTTCACTTAAATATACAGCCATTTTCCACCAAAACTTTTTTTAGGGCACACATCATATGGCGAACTCCAGGCGTTATCGGGTTTTCATTATCAGAAAAAAAAGTCGATAACGATTCTTAGATATCACAATTATGCTAACATTGGGCTACATCCCTACACAGAACCAGTTTAGTCAGTGCTGGATTTACAAACACCTAAATCTGTGTATATGTTGGTTTTTATTTTTAGTTCGACACCTCGGCATCGGCCAGAGCAGAACAAACAGGGCTGACAGACTACTAAATAAAACCATCATTTTATTCTTCAAGTGTCCTTTCCAAGGAGTCAGTGGATCAACCAAAAATATATACAAACATTTCCTATCACACCAACAGACTGTATATACAAATATGTCTCAATCTACACATTCAGAGAACACCGGACAGACGAAGAGGGGGTGGGAATAAAAAATGAAGGAACAGAGTCAACGACAGCAGGTGTTTAGGTTCTACAGTGGAGGAGGGGAGAGGGAGCAGCGGGTCCAGGTTTGTATCCGGACATCAACACGTCCCTCCGTTTCCTTGAGGAAACTTGTCGGCGTTGCGGAGAGTCCAAAAAAAAAAAAGAAAAAAGAAAAATGAAGAGGAAAAGTGTTTGTCAACTTGATTCGTTTTTAGTTTCGTCCTCTACACTGGTCAAAAATTGAATTCCCACTGCGGAGCGTCTTTATACTGTGGTGAGACACTGTAGCTGCTCCTGTTGCTGATGGCAGCAGGAAATGAGGCCACGCTACCTCGCGTCCCATTGGTCGCTCTCCCCTCCATGCCATTATAGAGTAGCACTGCGTCTGGAAGAAGACGATAGTGAGCGAGCTAAGCAGTTTGAAACAGTGTTCAGTCAAGGCTGTAAACTACAGAAGAATGTTGTACCTCAGGGTTTAGTCTGACCACTGGTGCTACAATAGACTGTCTATAAGAAATGGACGTAGCTATTGACAGAGTTCCACCTTGGAGCCTCACTATTCATACTCATGCTATGACGGTTTTGAAGCCAGAAGTCTACAGATGTTGGCTGCAACCAACCAAGATTTTGATTGGACAGTGCAGCCGTCCACTAGTCCACTGCTCCCGTGTCCACCCTTCAACGGGGTGTCACAAAGAGGAGTCAAACGCCAAACAATTTAACGTAAGATACAACATTTCTAACAGAATGTTCCCGCAACTCCAAGTTGGAGACAGGATTTCCAACAGTCAACTTGACTAGTTTTTGTGTCGAGCTACTCGAACACAATAACGTTAGTCAGATTTCGGTTTGGGGGGTGCCTACGCCTATGTATCCTATTCAGGGAGATGGCCTCAAGGGGAACAGACCTGATACGACCTGAGGCACAGTCAATCAAAGTCAATTGAATTTTGTACCCCAAATCTGAACGCGGTCAACTCTCACTGCAAGAATCTGCTGGTAGTCTGTTCTATCTCTGTGTGAACTTCAAGTCTCTTCAAAATCTGTGACAAAGCCTTTATAGCCTGACCCTAGATTTATTTGATGTCACATGGTCCAGTGAGTCATTTCCACTTCGTCTCCGCAGCATCACTTTTGCACGATAACGGCTAAGTCCATATCTTACGTCAAGGCTACGTAAACTACATCTACAAAATCTAAACATCAAACAGTGCTCATGCAAAAAAAAAAAACACACACACAAATTAATAGACTTTGTGCATGCACACAAACCCAATGTCACATGAAGGTCAAGAACCATCATGCACAATGGAGCATTAGGACCACAGTTATGACAATGAGATGTTGGGGATTTTAGGAGACATGCTGTTACTGCTGATGAGTTAATGACATGTGAGGACAGGAATGGACACATGGAGCAAGGCAGGATTTATTTTTTAAAATCCCTATTAAATATGTCTTGTTTTTTAATCGTTTAGTTTCAGCACAATTAGAAGAACTTTATTTTTGGAAAATATTCCGTTTTTCTGGTCCCAATAGAGTACAGCTATGGTATATTGATTATATCTGTCTATGGTTTTTCGAGAGCAGCATCAAGCCTGGTCAACAGTAAACAGTTTCAACATCCAAATAAAACTGCAGAAATATGTTTCTTAATGAATGTTAAACGAATGAATTAAAAAGTCCGCAATTTGGAAACAATGTCAAATGGGTTTTTTTAAAACCTTTTACAGCACAATGTCAAATGTTTTTTTGTTTTTTTTTAAACCTTTCACAGCACCTTTTTGGTTAAAAACGTGACTAAACATTAAGTTCTCTCTTTATTTATCTATATATTTTGATCGCTTAGTTTTTCCTGACCCTAAAAATGCACAATAAGCAGCATGACAGGCTCAAAAAGACGCTACGGCAAGTGATCGAGCAAACTCACTCTGACAACTCAGCATCTGCTTCTTTTTTACCTACAACCAGAGAGGAGAAATGAGAGGAGCAGGAGGTGGAAGAGGCTAAGGATAAAAAGGGTTTCATACATAGTCAGACATAAGAAGTCTGAGCTGCTGGAGGACTGTAGGTCTCTCTACCTCTCTTGGACTTGAAGTACAGCACACAGCCCAGCACCAGCAGGGACAGCACCACCAGACAAATCCCACCGATCAGCGCTTTCTTCCACAACGCCATCTGAACTGTGGAGACACAGAGGAAGACAAGGAGGGAACTGTTATGTAAGGTCAACGTTCGGTCAATGACAGAGAAGAAGACTTCCAGGAAGTACGTGTTTAGAACAAGAGTTTTCAATAGTCCGCAGTATTGGGCCAGATACATTTAAATACCTGTACTGTCCCTAGAAGACAAGCGGTGATTCATTGACCTAATACTCTGTCAAGGACATTTTACCGCAGCCAGTTCAGTGTAAGGTCTGAGGGTTTTCTTTCTTACCAGTTTGTGGGTGGCTAGCATTAAGGCCTGTGCGATTTTAATCTTCTAGGAATCTTATAGGACCACTGCATTGACACACTGTGACGATGATCTAATACACTTTGGTATGGGGCCAAGTTTGAAGTGTGCAGATTGTACAATGAACATATACTGAATTGCAGGTTTACAATGACATCAATATACTACATCATCAGCATATGTCCTCCATCTTTACCATGGTTACGGAACCTGTTCAGGAGAAAACCGAAACTGTACATTTGTTCGGGTTTAGCGGCAGTTTCTATTGTGTAATTTCCTGCATCATTTGTATTGGCTAATTAGTAGGAGTAGATTTTAGCAGCTGTCAATCTGTTTTTATTTCGCTTTATGTCAGCTTATCTTGGTTGCAAGATGGCGTTGTCCCTTAACCTGTCTCAGCGCGATGTGAGACTACGGTTTCGGAGCTAGGACCAAAGAAAGGCTTTCGCCTGGGACAGTCCAAAATTGCACAGCGTATAACAGTTATTACACATTGTCTACTGTCAGCAGTATATTGGTGAGAAGGGAGCAGTTTCTATCATTCACTGGTTCTTTGTGTCCTAATTAACAATTGATGCTATTAAGCCAGGAACCACACCTATCACCAGGGGCTGTGGACCCCAGGCTGGATAGTTAGTAGTGGACTAATGCTAAAGAAAAGGCTCTAGCAGTAGCTGGTACTGGTCTGTGAAATAGGTCAAGCTCATGTTAGGTGATATAAAACTGAAACTAGAAAAAAATAGACTTTTTATCTACAGTACAAATAAAAATGAGCCATAATCAAATAAACGACAGACAAAAGGCTGCAGTTAAGACCAGGGCTCCCCAACCCCCGGTCCGGGGACCGGTGCCAGTCCGTAGGTCATTTGGTACCGGGCCACAGTGTGTGTGCCACAGTTTACACCTGATTAGTTTGACTTGGGGCTGGAACCACTGACAGACCGTTCTTCTACCGTGTGCCACTGTCAGATTTCAAAACAAACAATACAAAGTACTTATGAAGTTCTGTATATTTTAAATACCAATCAGTCTCACCCTCTACTGTGACCCTCTCACTGAACACATTGTTGGCCTGGTTGATGGCCTCGCAGTAGTACGTGCCGCCGTGTCCTTTGGTCAGCTCGTTCACACGGTAGTGTGTGTGGTTTATGTTGGAGGTGGTGGTGAACTTCGGCTGTTCGTCTCCAACGCGGTAGAACTTGAAAGTGACGGGCGGTGAGCCTTTAGTGCCACATATGAGGTAGAGCTGATCGCCCTCTGAGACCTCTGCAAGCTCCGGGAGGATGGTCAAGGTGGGCTCCGTCAGAGGCACTGAAAGATGGAGCAGATATATAAATATAGTGATATATAAAAATAGGAAATTGCCCTTTTTAAACCAAAAAAAACTCCCATTAAAAAATATACTATACTATGTATGAATATAATTTTCATAAAATCATTTGCAGTTTGCTACTATTTTTTTTAAAATTTTGCTAACATTAGCATCTTTTGTGTAGCATTTTTTTTCTGATTTCAAACTATTGGCTTAGCTGACCTGACTCTGGCTTTAAGGTTTAATTGATATTAAGAAACATTTCATACTTTGTGGCCATTTCTGGACTAATTAAATTTCAGTCAAACAATTCTTTTAGTAAGCTAAGTTTAGCAAAGATATAGCTTTTTTTTGCTACCTTATGGCTTGAATCTGAGTTTTGTTAGCATTGGGGTAAATTGCTTTTTTTGGCTAGGTTTAGTTTTTTAGACGCATACTTTTTCATGAGCTATTTTACTTTTTGTTAATATTTAGCTACTAATGTTTAGCTGTAAACATTAGTTTCTACCATGCTAATTCCGTCTTAAATATAAACAATAGCAATAAACAATTAACACTGATTAATTAAATATATCCCCATCAATAGACATCAAAGACTGCCAAAACAAAAAAAAACAAAAAAAGTATGTCAGTTAATCCACTGATCTGCTGCATGAGATAATTTGTTAACTTGTATAATATATAAATATGGTAGCAGTGAATAAATGTTACCTATGACGGTAGCGTTGAGCCTCTTGCTGAGCGGGTCTTGTGTTATTTTGAGATTATTCTTGGCCTCACACATGAACTTGTTTATTTCTTCAGGTCGCCGAATGGTGACTTTGAAGCGAGCCTGCTCTTTGGGCAGCCAGACGGTGGTGGTGTTCAAGGGCTCGTAATCCCACAGCAAGGTGTAGTTTATCGGATAACTGCCAATGTCGGAATGACAGAGGATCTCAAACGGTTCTCCCAGGACTGCCCTGCCTTGAACAACTGAGATCTTGGGAATGGAGACTAAAACTGAAAAACAAATGACCCAAGGTAAATAAATGTATGCAGTAACTGACTGACTACAACAGCTTTCAGGTCAAAAGCCCTGATCAGTTTTAAGAAGTTAGTTAAAAGGTAGAAGTAAAACTTAAATTAAAATCAGCAAAAATAGCAACAAATTAGAAAAAAAGTCAAATAAAAATAGTAGAAAATATTAGCTAAATAAAGGGAAAAAAAACAGGATAGAAACAAATCTTTCTATCCATTTATCTAGCTATCTAAATGCTTATTGAAAGTATTAGCACAGGATAGAAAATACATAATAATAGCCAAAAATATGCTATACCTAAGAATCCCACTTTAGCTAGCAGAAAAAAAAAGTCAGCAATAACCTAAATGTTAGCAAAAAAAGTTGAGAAGTTTGAGAAGATCGATTAGAACTGGCTAAGATATGCTATTTTCTATTTGTAAAATAGTCAAACTACTATTCAGACAAAACAAACAAAAAAAAAAATTACCAAAATGGAACACAGAATGATTGCATTAAAACTATATATTTTTATTATTTTTCTAGGCCGCACTGGTGATACCTTCATGTACATATTTGTTTACATGTCAGAGACTCTTCCTACCTTTCGGTTTTACGCTCAGTGTAGCACTGTACTTGGTGATGCCTTTGGCCTGAGCCACACAGGTGTAGTTGAACTCATACATCATGGTTTTACCAGAAAATACTCCAGGCTTGGTGGAGGTCAACAGAAAGTTGGGCGGCTCCAGACTGTAGGTCACATTCTCCCTGTTGATCCGCTCAGACGCTACCTTCTCACTATTGCAGGTCAGTGACATGTCTTCCCTTTGGAAGACGACAGTGGGAGACATGGTGATGGTGGGTGTTGAAAACAACTCTGTGGACAGGCCGCAGAGAAAACACAGGTCAAACATTCCAAAGAAACAGTTTATACATTTATTGAAGGCAGGGATTCAAACCCACGGTCAAGGTTTGGTCAATGTTTTTTTTGTGACTGGGAGACAACCAGAAAAAACCTACACAAAGGATCATCATCACTGGGATTGAACCAGTGACCTCTTTTAGGAGAGCACTGGCCGATCTACTATCGTGCGGCCCTTTCTTGGTTTGTATTAGAGAACACTTTTTGAAAACCCTAACCCTAACCCTAACCCAAACAGTCAAAATAAACAATTTGGTTACACCAGACTAAAACAGCTGGTGTGAAGGCAGGTTTTGATGGAGAACTTGATTGTAGACTGGGTCATTTTGGATGAATGTTGTCTGAGATGTAGCCCAAGAAACAGAAACAACCTACAGAGTCAAAATTTAAACTTCTATAACAATGGTTCATTCAGAATGTTAGAGCATGGTTTAAAAAATATATCTAATATATATATATATACATATACACATACAAATATATATATACATATATACATACAAATATATACATAAATATACATATCTAGATACCTGAACTGGACTGGACTAAGACAGATTGACAGTGGACTGTAGTACACTTGACTGGACTGGTCTAAACTGAACTGAACTGGATTAAACAGGACCGGCCTAGACTTGATTGAACCTAAAACCTAAAAAGATTAAATTAAATTGGACCGAACAGGTCTTTGGAGGCGTAAGGATGAAAGAAGAAAAACGGGAGGTTTTTCCCCATCGTACTCACCGGTCACTGGGACCATCTTCGTCGTGACTTTTGCTACAGTCCCTATCTCTAGTCTACACTCAAAATCCATAGGATCCTCCGCCAGTGCCACCGTGCTGTAGTTGACTTTGGTATCTCCACTGCTGAGCAGCCTGGTCCCTTGGCTCAGGTATAGATAGATCGGAGCAGTACTAGGATTGAACGCCATGTTTCTGATGGTGCATGTGATGCTGAGAACGTCTCCCTCGTAGATCCTGGACTGAGGGTAGATCTCCAGAACTGGTGTGATGGACATCTCTAAGACAAAGAAGCCGTTGAAGATTAGTTTCCCTTTGGAGTCCGACACCTTTAAACATCGGTATCGTAATAAGGAGACATACAGTACCTTTGACCGAAACAGTGATCGTGTTGCTCTCCTCGGACTTGAAGGAGTCGGGCATCATCAGGACGGAATAGGTGCAGTGCACTTTGTGGTAGCCGACGCTACTGAAGCGAAGCTTGAATTCTACCTCGGTGGAGTTGACCAGTTTCTCCTCGATGATTTTGGAGTCTACATCCAAGATGAAAAAAATGAAGCCCGTCTCACCTGGTGCCGTGCAGCGAGCTGTGACGTCTTCACCTTCACTGACAACACCCTTGTTGAGGTGAAGAGTTGGTTTTGATAGACCTGGAAAAAGAAAATAAATGGTCAATAAGTTCTGACGTTATGGTTTTAGTTGCCCCTTCGCTTTGAAGCTTATTATAGAAAGGGCTGGAACTGGACACAACAGGATTGAACTAGACTGGACTGTAGTCTATCGAAGTCAAGTGGTCAACTGGGGAATTGCAACGAGGTATGCAATACAGGCAATTGTCCTAAGACCCCGAGCTAGGAGGGGCCCCAACAGACCTCTTGTCTAGGGTTGCCACATCTGACACAAAAAGATGTTTTTGAAAGAGTCTGGCTTTAATCACCAAAACATGTTTAGGTATGTCTCTTGTCAAGAGTTGAACTATATTACCTTTGATTTCTAACGTCAACATTCTAAAACAGGGCAAACTTTTTGACTCGTGGGCCACATTAGTCCTAAAATTGAACGGGGGGCCGGGTCAGGAGCAAATAGATAGATTGTGCGTGTGAACTAAGATAAATGACATGTAAAAGTCATGCACAAAGACTAAAAAAAAAAAAAAGTGCTTTTATCATTTTCTACGCCACCTATTAGAAAACGTAGGTATTACAGGTTTTTATCATTTTCTACGCCACCTATTAGGAAAACATAGGTATTACAGGGAAAAGGCAAAGTATAATGATAATATAAATAAATTATATAATTTGGAAAAGTTTGGCGAGCCAGATTAAAAAGCTGAACGGGCCACATCCGGCCCCCGGGCCTTAGTTTGCTCATGCCTGTTCTAAAATCGAGTAAAACATCAATTGTTTTGAATGAAAACACCTTTCTTCAATATGCCAAAAACTGATGAGGCAGTTGAACCCCTAATGGAACCTCGGGAGGGAATAACCTTTAACATTTGTCCATTTGTTCCTTAGTTTACTGCAATATGCACTCTTACCACCAGATGTCACTAATACTTCTGCTCAGACCTGTCATCCAGAGTCTAACTGGCCAGTATGGTCAGATACCTGCCTGTTACCGTTAGCTTGGTAGCATCACTCTGCATGTTCTTGCCCTCGATGTTGATTGCGCACTTGTATTTCCCAGTGTTGGAGACTCTGGCGTCAGGCAGCAGGTACAGCAGATCCTCCGAGGTGATGGTGTTCTTGGTGTAGATGTTGTTGCTGCCCTGGTATATGCTATACTTTCGGTTGAGGGGCTCCTGTCCCGAGCTGCTAACCACGGCCGTACATCTGATGGTCACATTGGTACCGCGGGGAACTTCAGCGCTGGGCTCCACAGACAGGGTGATGTTCCTTATCGTGAACGCTGAAGAGGGCGGATTAAAAATAACATTTGAATGAAAATGATGAGCAGGTTTGCAGCAGATATAAAATAGCACTGTCTCTGAAACGCACCCCCTAACCATCACAGAACCTCCTTCAGTTTTTCTTGTTCATTTCTGAACATCCACACAGCGTACGTTTCTCCTCATGACATTGAATACTGGTATTCAAACTGTGGTTCATTAGTCCCTGTCAGTTGCCATTTTTCTCTGTTTGCATTTGTGAGGTATGTTTTTAAGCAGTTTCTCTTAAAAAGAATATGATGATTTATGAGAAAACATTCTTGTATAAATGAAAGATTTGGAAATATTTCTCAGATCCTGGGATAACATTTCACACTGGATTCTTTCTTCTGTTTTTACCTTGTATTTTTACATTTTTTGACAACTGCGGAAGTACCAGGGGAAAAACAAAAAATACAATATATAAAAACTACATTCTATTAGAAATCTTCATGGCAAATAAAAGATTCTTGAAATAACTCACCAAAACAAAAAATATAGTGTTAATATACTTCATTCAATTAAAAATATATTTCAGTTTGTATATTTTAATGAAAATCAAAAACATTTACAAAATTCTGACTAGTATTTAAATTTGTTTTAAGTCTATGAGGTTGAACTGTTTAGATACTATCTTGATAATATAGGTATTACAATAGTATTATAGTATTTTAGGTATTATTGATTAGTTTTTGTTGATAATTAATAAAAAAATAAATAGGAAAAAGCAGGCTTTTCCTGTGAAGCCTGTAAAAAATGAGAGGTAATTTTATAAATTCTGAACCTGGAACTGAAAACCACTTTTTTGACAAAATTTGATTATAAATATCGTGACGTTTCTCTACGTTTAAGGAATATTACAATTTATCCCATCCATCCATCCGTCACCATTTCATCTTTTTTCCTTAAACTACTACTTTAATGAGATCCTTGATATTTTTTCAGCCTCCTTCATCTGTGCTGACCGTCTCAGCGCTAACTTAACTCTGCCTTTAGTCCTGTAGTCGCCCGTTTGGCCTCAGACTCTCCTCCAGCTGATCTGCACTGACTCATGTCTTCCAGGTCCAGTGCAGTGCTGAGGACAGGCGTGTGATACTTCCTGCTGCAGCTTTTCCACCACAACACATGAGAAAACCTGTGATAAGACGTTCCCACTCTCTCCTCCCAAACACTACACCTCTCTTTTCACCCAATAAGTATTTCTGCAACCACTGACGGTCAAAGGTACAAGAAACGTTTCTACTTACATCTCTGTGCATCCACCACTGACCCAGGATGGAAGTCTTGGGAGGAGATAAGAAAAACACCAGATTAGAGACAAATCTGCAAAATTCTTTCCTAATCAAAATACAAATAAATCCAGAGCTCCTACAGAAGAAGGTCAGAGGTCGGGAATCTTACAGCTGGACAGGAGCATGGAAGTGAGCAGCGGTAGGAGAACCATTCTGTCTGATTTTCACCGAGGTGGAGCTGCCAGAGGGTCGAAGGCACCAAGTGACTGGTGACAAGCCTGGATTATGCGACTGAGTTTGTGGGGTTTGAATATCTGGAGTTCAGTGGCGAGTGGGCGTGACAGATTCTAAGGTGGCGCTCTACCTCGGCCACTCACCAAACAGTCAGTGTTGGTGGTTATCACTATGAGCAGTCATGGACTTGGCTTAATTTGACAGGAAGTGAGTGTTGTTTCCTCAGGATGTCCATGCCGCCCAGCTCTTCGCTGTTGTGGAATGTTCTCTCTTCTGGTCTATTCGAGCATGTGTGTGTGTGTGTGTTAGACACAACACAACACTGTACTGCTTGATCACTGTGCAACACTGAACTGAACAAATAGAGATACCAAAAAAAAAAAGACTCCAAAAAAAAGGCACAAAAAAAAAGAGGAAACATTGTTTGGGAGAAGAACGACTCCTCAGGTGAAGGGTAAATCTGAGCTCAGGGTGAAATGTGTCTTAAAGAAATGTACTTTCTCAAAGAGGTTTTCAATCTTTATCGAACTGCATGTGGTCCTTCAGTTTATAATCTTCTTCGAGGCTAATTCTAATCAGAGTCTAAATCTGTCGGCAGGATGCTGATAACAAACATTATGTGAAAAAACAAACAAACATGGGTGACACATGAATACAGTGGTCCCTCTCCTATCGCGGTAGTTCTGTTCCGAGACCCACCGCGAAGTAGTGGCGAGATAGTTATTATATTATTGACGTATATATTTACCTTTCACGAAGCTCCCACACGATTATATAGACAGTAGAGTTGTATAGTGGAAACATAAGACATACATATTACGTAAATAAATTAAATACACGACGTGGCGGAGGTTAGCGTTCAGCTGCAGGAGGGAGAGCACGGGAGTGGCGACGCAGGTGCAGCTCCGGACGCAGGGGAGCGCTGTTGGGGGAATCAAGTAATCAAGTTTCCTACCCATGGAAATTTCCTACCCGAGTTAACTGCGCATGCGTACATCGGCCAATTTGCGACTGCAAACAATACATAGTTTTCTGCAGGTTAGGAAATTTCCATGGGTGGCATGGAACTTCAGAACACCGGCCTTGGCTATTGGTTAATTAAAAAAATACAGCCAGATGTGTAAAACATTAACTCTACAAAACGTTCCATGTCTCTCTCCATCTTTTTTGAACTCTCCATCTTGTTTAATTCCCCACTAAACTAGAAACGACCACCATGCACATCAACTGGTGGGGCCAGACTGGGTGCTAGGGGGTGGGAGGAAGTCTTTCTCAAACCCAGCTCATCAGTTTCTGGGTTGGAGGTCTGCTGTGCTCGGTGCAGCTCCAGGTTTCTCCTCCACTGGAAACACAGCGCTGTGGCCTCTGCTCCATCAGAGTGTGGTTCTGGCTGTTTTAAACCCTTGAAAACAACAACAGAACAGTTTTTGTTAGACATTAGGGAACTCTGGGGTCAGTAAAAGACATGTTATAATGAGTTGTATTTACCGTGATGCAGGCGGTCTCTGCAGCACGGACGCCACGCAGGACGATTTGGAGGAGATTCTGTGTATTCTTCACAAGGATCTCATCGGATGATTTGCTTCCAGGTGTTACGGCATTTACGCTAAGTGAACAGAAGATATGATTTCAGAAAATGTTTATTTTCCTCAAACTTGTTTAACTCAGGGGTCTGCAACCTTATCTAGTAAAATTACTTCACTTTTTAAACACATACATAGAGCAAGGACTGTGTTGCTGCCGCTACCTGCGGTGCTATGAAAAAAACAGGAGATAAGAGACACAGGTTGCAGAGCTCTGGTCAAAAGCCTCCTGACCTGGAGATGATGTTCAGCTGGTTTGTGATGGTCAGAATCTGCTCAACAATAAGGGACAGTTCAACCATACATTGTTTGTCCAAGCAGTGGTTAGCAATGACTCTAATGAACTGGGTCAGTGATTGGCTGTTGGAGATGACGTCTTTGGCTGCAGTGACAAACGCCTCTTTATTCTGAAAGAGAAACAAATGTGGAAAAGTAGTGAGAATAAATAATGAGCCAAAGATGATAAACAGTGCCCTCTAATGGTCCTTACCGGTATTGGGCCTTTCTTCCTCAAGTACTGGGTCATGTAACATATTATGTCAGCCATTTTCCTGGTCACCTGGAAACAAACATGGGTGACACATGAATACAGTGGTCCCTATCCTATCGCGGTAGTTCTGTTCCGAGACTCACCGCGAAGTAGTGGCGAGATAGTTATTATATTATTGACGTATATATTTACCTTTCACGAAGCTCCCACACGATTATATAGACAGTAGAGTTGTATAGTGGAAACACAAGACATACATATTACGTAAATAAATTAAATACACGACGTGGCGGAGGTTAGCGTTCAGCTGCAGGAGGGAAAGCGCAATTGGAGTAATCAAGGGACCAAGGAGAGTGAATACTGACACAGACGACGGCTCATAATAAAAAAAGTACATGAAAAAAACAAAAAACAAACATGGGTGACACATGAATACAGTGGTCCCTCTCCTATCGCGGTAGTTCTGTTCCGAGACCCACCGCGAAGTAGTGGCGAGATAGTTATTATATTATTGACGTATATATTTACCTTTCACGAAGCTCCCACACGATTATATAGACGGTAGAGTTGTATAGTGGAAACATAAGACATACATATTACGTAAATAAATTAAATACACGACGTGGCGGAGGTTAGCGTTCAGCTGCAGGAGGGAGAGCGCGGGAGTGGTGACGCAGGTGAGCGTAATTGGACTAATCAAGGGACCAAGGAGAGTGAATACTGACCCAGACGGACGGCTCATAATAAAAAAAGTACATGAAATAATTATTAATTAAAGTTAAAGATGCATTTTCAGTATGACTCTACACATTTTTGACATTTTTCTAAGTAAAAATCGCCGAATTTGAGTATTTCGCGATCAAATACAGGCAGAAGTCCCGGATGCAGCAGTGGAGAACTGTGCCTCATACCCGACTGCACGATCCAATAGAACCTGGGTCACGTGACGCGTGTTCGTTTCTGTTCCTCAGCATATCACCAATATGAACTTTACAGAAATATTAGTTCTACAGTCTGTGTAATGTCTTTAATGTACTGTATGTGCGAGAGAGCTGTTTCTGCTGATCGTACAAGAAAGTGCAGAGAAAAGTCAGCAGGGAATGCAGTCAGTACTCATCCCACCACAAGGGGGCGTCTGAAGGTCAACATTTAATTTGTGCTGCACTCCATCTCTATACTCTAATTTGTTTACAGTAAGTTTTGAATTTCTTAGATACAAAAAGGATGCGCTGTCCATTTGTATAAAAGAAACGTTCTTTGTAGGACAAATATGTTCCTGTGTATATGTTTGTGTTGGTGTCAGTCTCATTAAAAGAGGAATGCTGATGAGATATGAAGCATTACCAGGTGCATTCATTTATTTTTTTGCTATATTTTTATTGTTATTCTATAGGTTAGAAAATGTTTTTTACCATGAAAATAATGAAAATATTGTAAATTAAATTGTTTTACCGTAAAATACCTCGAAACTCGCGAGACTGGAATAAAAATAATAACGTGATGTTCTGAGGGAGTGAAAGGAGAACCGCGACATAGAGAAGAAACACTGTACTATCAATGTATTCAGAAAAGTGAGTAAATGTCAGAATTTGGATTCGGCTTAAACTATTAAAATCTTTAATCTGACTTTCACGGAGCAGCTGTGGATTAATCATGATTAATCGTAATCACCAAATGGATGTCTATCAAAAAGAAAGTTTCACTAAAGTGAAACTTCTTTTTCTGTACGATGATGATGTCTGTGTTTCACACCTGTCTTTATTTGTCACTGATCCAAATGACAGAATTAGTCAATTGTATTTTTTATATCAAAACTAAAAAATAGCTCCACAGAGTGGGCGGATTTGGTACTGTTCATGTGGCCAAACACACGAGTGGTCCAAGAACCTGTTCAAACCAACGGAGATGAGCAATGAAACAAAGCGTCGACTGCAGAAAAATCCACAGCAGACACACTTTGGTGATGTATTTGGTTTATTTCACAGACTTCATCTCCTGTCTCATAAACCACAGTCAGCAGAGCAGTCAAAGGTCACCGGGAGACAAATCTGATTGTTTTCAATCTTTCTTTCTCTCTACTTTAAGCCTTTTTCTTCTTCTTCTCCTGATCTAAAATGTTAGAAATCAAAACATGATGCTGAGGGACGTGTGGACGACTGAGCAGCATTAGCATTAGCAGCAGCAGCTGCAGTAGAATCCTGGGAAACAGCTCAGTGACAAGGAGGGACAACTGCAACCGTCTGCACACTGTTGGTTACCACTTTGTTTCAAGTTCATGGTTGCAGGATTTAATAGGGGGACAGAGCTCATCACGTCTGATAATGAGGATGCGAAGTCACGGGTGTAGCAGGAAAACAAAACGAGAGGGAGCGCGACTGTTGGTGACGCTGTGGTCGGCTTTTCACAACACAATACCAGCAGAATTAAAAACAGAAAAAAATAAAGAAAAAAACCACCAAGAGAAATAAAAACAGACAAAGTTGCAGCCGCTCCACCTTAAAAAGTTCTGATTGTGCTCATAATGATGCTGCACAAAAAGAAAAAAAACATGCAAATAAAAGGTATCTCCACTAAACCAAGTTGGCGAAACCAGAGTGGTGAAGTCACTCAGTTCAACATGCTACAGCTTTGACACCTCCACCTTTGTTAAAAAAAAGAAGAAAAAAAAAGCAACAGCATTTGATTCAAAATTCAACCCAATTTAAAAAAGAAATCATGGATAAAAAAAACAAAATAAAATCAAACTCAAGAGGTCACATGACCTATGAACTCAGTGAAGCTGCTGTAGACGGCGTCTGGACCATAGACCGTATATAAAAGACTTTTTTTTAATTTAACCAAATTTTAGAGGTGATAAATTGAACATCTGTGGCTAACACCTCATGATTAACTAATTAAACAAATACTTTGATTTTTCAAGGGTTAAACTGTCACCCTCCAATGGTCTGAAAAGTCATTTGACAGAAAAATTAAAATGACTTGAAATTTGCGGGATTTTTAATGATGACCAGGTCTCTGGGATCGACAGGAAGAATCATTCAAATTAAATTCTTCCCTGATTTCAGATGTGGATATTCCATCCATAGAACCTACATCGAGGTTTGTGAGAACAGGTTGTAGACTCTGGTGGAACCGAGAAGATCTTGAAAAAGTAACTCTGTATCAATGATGTCATATAGCTTTTTTTTTTTTAGTTTTCACCACCAGCTACACGTCTTCTTCAGACAAAGTTCGACTCCATTTGTAGGAAAACAGAACAAGGATGAGCTGAAAAGCCAACATCCAACACGAGGTCAGGTCAAGTCCCTTACTGACACTAGTCAGGCTTCTTACGTACCATCCACAACCTTACTTTAATTTCTAGTTTCAACTAAATGGGATCAGAATACAAACTTAATATCCCATTAGTTAGGAGAAGATCTGAAATAATCCAGCAGGGACCATCGATGTTCCAGAAGAACATTTGGGAATGTCATAAACATAGCCTCATTTACCTTTAGATTTCCAGAGTTTTCCCCACCCCTACCTACAGTCTATGGTTCCACCATGTGAAGCTCCAGGTGCATGAAAACTAAAGCAACAATAGCAGCTGCAGCTCTGTAGGCGCTGCTCTTGGACACAAGACGATGTGTTACCGTTCATACTGAAGGTGATCTCTGGTGATTCTTTAGCTTCCAGGTTAAATCCTGGACAGCTTTATTGCTCTGCAGGGCAGCAGGTTGCCGTAGATAAACGTTGATCTTCTCTCACTCTCTGTGTTAAATATAGGATGAAATCTTAGACTGGAACAAACAGTCTTAAAAAAAAAAAAAAAAAACATGCACGCACTCGAGCCAGAAAAGCATGGAGAGGCGATTATGTTTGGCACACTGGGGTGAAAGAAGCAATAAAGAGGAGGAGAAGAAGGAGGAGCAAAGAGGAGGAGAGGTCAAGTGATGGGAGCAGGCACCAAGTCCAAGGTGGGAATGGCCCACGGTTGGAGCGGATCTGTGCTATAATCCATTATAACACACACACACACACACACACACAAACACACACACTCTGTGCCCCCTCTGCAGGGACAGACTAAGCCCAGTCCATCTCTGGGTGTGTCCTCAAAAACCGGACGCAGAAAAGTAGCAAAACTCTGCGTCTTTTGGTTGAGAGTTGGGCGTTAAAATAAACACACACACACACACACACATTTCCAAACACACACGTATATACACACGCCAGGGTCCAGCAAAGTTTTCCTGCATCAGTATATGTGTTTTAACTGTGTTGTCCACCGAGGGGCGCTCCACCCTCCCGTCTCTTCATCCATCTATCCAGCTTCGTACTTGTTTCGAGGGAGGGAGGCTCACAGTTTGTTTAGGTAGTGATGCTCGCTGAGCAGGAGGAGGAGGAGGAGGAGGGAGGAAAGGGGGAGAGGGGGAGGCATAGCCTCAGGG